CCCCCTGAGGCAAGGAGGGCATTGTTCCCCACTGAGGGCAGAACCCACCTGTCCACCCTGATGTGCCCCCTCCCGGCCAGAGCTTAGGACGTGCTCAGGGTTAGGTAGACCACAAATATGAGGATGTATGCCACATACATACATGAGTATGTTTTGAGTCCCCAAATGAGTCTATTCTCTTTCTTTATTCAGACATGAATACTATCACCCAAAATATCTCAGGGGCTTGGAGCCACAGGTGGTGAGAAAATGTCCCTACTGTGTCCTAGAGCTCTGCTGGGCTCCCGAACCACCAAGGAGATGACTGTGAGCTTCTGGGGGTGTCAGACCGCTGAGGGAGCAGGGGGCCTCCCAGAGGGAGAGCAGGGTGTACTTCGGGGGGTGAGGTGGTGTGGGAAGGGCGGAGAGGCCAGGACAAAGACCCTGCAGGCACTGGGGCCGAGGGGGAGGCAGCACACAGGCCCATCCACAGGGCTTTCCAATCCTACGTCACGTGCAAGGGTCAGCATTGAATCTGCACCTGTGCAAAGAGCTATCCCAGACCTGCACTGGTGTGCGCAAGGTGTGCAAAGCCACACATTGCCACTGGTCCAGGGCTGGGGCTCAGGCTCCTTCTCCCTGGTCCTCTGCTACCGCAGCTTCCATCCCCAAAGTTGTTTCAGGGCCAGCTTAGATGCTCTGGCTCCAACCATTGTATTCACCTTCCAGCCAGCAGGAAGGCACCCACCCCCAAGAGCCCACAAACCCTGTGTTTGTGCCCATTAGTAGCCAGAGCACAGGCACATGACCACAGCTGCCAGGCAGGCTGAGGAAGCCAGCCTGCACCCTACCTGATCCACTGAACAAGCAGCCCTGTCATGAAGGGCAGGCGTGGGCAGAGCCAGCAGGCTCACCAGGGCCCGGCCACTGCCCCTCCTTGTGGCGAGTCTCTTCGTTCGTGAACTTGCCCTTCTCCCAACTAAACAAGATCTCTGTCTTTGCACATTTGTAAAAAATAATTTGATACAGCATTTTTCACAGCCAGCTGGAAAGAATTACCATAATTGATATTTTCAGAAAAGATTGCTCCTTTGAGAACAATTGCTTACACATTTGTTCTTTATTTCTTTGACATTTTAGAAAGCAAAATATGTGCAAACATTTGTTCTGCAAACCCAAAGTGTGAAGAAAGATGTGCTCTAATACTAAAAAATGCTTCTGTGCCTCTGAATTTCAAAAACATTTTAGTTTGATAACAACTTATAGAGAAGACTATCAGCTCATATTTTATACTGAGCATCATTTTTTTAATGTCAGGGAAAAATGAAAGATGGTACAGCTTAGGGGACACTGTGTTAGTCATGAGTTTTTAATTCCAAGGGGCCCTCTGAACCTGATTTCCATGGAATTAGCTTCAGGTGGCTGGTTTTGCTGTCAACATTGCCACCCTGCCTGTTTTCAGTGCTTAAATAAATATTAAATGATAGTCAAATTTTGCAAATAAAGTATAAGTAATGTCAAGTGTCTAGAGCCTTGTTTGATGTCAAATGTCTGTGTATTTGAAGAAAATGGTTTTATCTGGAATCCAAGTGTTGTAAAAACAGGATCTCTATCTGGAAGGCCACCTGCAGAAATGGATGACCCCGGGGCCAGGTCCATCAGGGAGTCCCGACATGTGGCCAGAAAGGCTGACCCCTGGAGATGAGGCCGCAGCCTTTGTGGGTCCTGACTATGATCTCAGTCGCCGTCTCTCCTGCCTTAACTTTCCTACCTGTAAAACGGCCCCACTTCTCCCACACACGCTATTTGGAAACTCTTTCATCACAATCCACCCTAAGCTCACATGAAACGCATGTAGAATACATGGGTACAAGAGGGCCATGGGCCCCAGAGCTGAGGGCTGCAGGGCCCAGGGCTCCCCAGCCAGACTTCTGGGTCAAGGCCTAAAGGAAGTGAGGAGGCAGAAATGCAGGTGGCCAGGCAGAGGGAAGGGCAGCAACCTGAGGCCACCTGACCGGGGGCTAGGGGAGCTTTCGTGGGGCCTGGTCTCCCACTGAGGGGTGGACGTCACCGCTGAAGGAGAAGCCAGTCTGCCCCACCAGCGCTGCTGCATTTATCCAGCTCCCTCTGCCCCGCCCAGCCCTGGTGCCCCCCGTGTGCCCCAACCCCTGCAGCATGCCATGGCCTCTGTTTCTAGGAAGCTGTGAATAAATCTTCATGACAGCCATGCCATGTCGGCGTGTTTTGCCAAACTGGACTAAAACAATCCCTGGTACCCTTCAGCACATTCTTACCGAAGTCACCTACACACTGAATGCAATTTGAAACAAAACTTCCAGTGGGAATTTTTACAACCAGACCAACTCATTCTCTAATTTGGACAGAAAAATAAAGTTCTATGAGTCACTGAGACTCCTGAAATGAAGTACCGACAGGAATTCCTTCTGGTACCAGAAACATTATTCCAAATGTATAGGGGTTAGGACAGTGCAGCACCCGCCCAGGAACAGGCCGATGGAGTAAAACAGAGAATCCCACACAACTTTATAGAACCTTCTGTTTCTGCTGATGTAGTGTAGGGAGGGAGATGGATAAACGGTACTAAGCATACTGGGTTACCACATAGAGAAGAAAATGTCTTCAGATTAAAAACAATTGTGAAGGCAGAACTAGAAACTAATATCAGAAGAAACCAAGGGAGAATGTCTCCTCCTGCCTATAAACTACTCTAAAATTCAGCAAACAAACCAACAGAAATACCCAGCCGCACAGGAGCAGGCGGGGACCCTGCCTTATAAGCCCACTGGGAGCAGGAAACACTTCCTCTAACTCTGCCTTCCTAAACAGACGCAGAGCAAGAGCAGGAGGGCAGGGACCCACCGGGGCTCCCCGCAGCTCTGTGCTCCAGCTGCCTTCCTAAAGCTTCCTCAGAACCTGGGACTTGCATGGGTACTTAAAGGGCCCATCTGGTGGTTTCCCAAAACCAAGAACCTAAGTCCCAAAGATGAATTGCAGTCTTTCCCTGCTACTAGAAAAACTGCTTAGAAACCCTTGCCTAAGGCCAACTTCTCAGAATCAAGCCTCCAGAACTCTCTGGGACTTCTAGAACATTCCAGCCCAATATTAAAATTGAAGCCTAAGTGTGAATGAGCAGCTTGAGCCAATGAACTACCCAGCTTGTCTTCTGAGTCTGCACCACTCTCCCCACAACCCCCACCCACACACCCCAAGAGAAGACTGACCCCTTGCACACAGAGGACCCCAGGGGGGCAGCCTGCTGACCAGCCCTCCTTCCCTGGGGACGGGAGGGGTGCCTGTCTTGGGCCAGCCCATCCCGCCCTGAGCCAGCCCATCCCCCCCTGAGCTCTGGTCCTTCCAGAGGTGATGGAGCTCCAGGGGCTCTCACCTGGCCTTCACCTAAGGACAGGCCCATCCCTGGACTAGAGCGGCTGTGCTGGACCCTAACTCCCCTCTGTTCTCTCCCATGTTCCTCCTCCCTTTCTGGAAAGAGGCTTTTGTATCTCTCACTGCCTGTCCACTCTAGGCCCACTGCAGGGTGGTCTCCACTGCTGGCCACTACCACTGGACTGCCTTCCAGGTCTTTCCTCCCCAGGGTTCATCTCCATGGACACCCCCACTCTGGGCACCCCACTCTGCTGAGGAATGGGACACCCACCCTTCCCACTCCTTCTGGACCCCTTCACCCCGCAGAGACCTTCCAGCTGTCCCAGCCAGCTGTGTGTCCACCATCAGAGCAATTGCCAGCTGAATGCCCAGGAGATGTGGAGTAATCAGGGTTCCAAGTCATAGTCCAGGTCAGCGTGAGGCTGGAAGCATTTGGGGCCATCCCTAACCTTTCTATTTCTTGCAGCACCACAGAGTGCAACAGAGCCATTGGCCTCTCCATCAAACACCAGGAGGCCCTCAGCATGGATGCCTCCCTGCGTCAGTCAGCTGGTAGACAGAGGGCGGACCACTCCCTGACCCCCGCCCAGGCAGGGATGAAGCAGAGAGCCTCCCACAACACAGATGTCCCCAGGAGCCCAGGTCTTTGGAAGGAGGGCCAGCAGGGCTGCTGGCCCTCCCCACACCCCAGAGCAATGCAGGACACGCTCCGGCGCCTTCCTGGTGATTTCACGTGATCGTGTGTGAACCAGGGGTGGCGGTCAGTGTCCGGCCGTCCTGCCTCTCCACTGGCTGCTGCCTGCTCCTGCCTGGGGAGGGCCACAGGGAGACAGTAACGAAGAGTTTGTGGTGAATTTCTGACGTTTATATACATTTTGATGTGGGAGTATTTTCCTTTTGCCTGAGTTAATACCGCACCACAAATTAGGGACCCTTCATCTAGAGCAATTAGGGGATGGGAGTCATTTAATCCACATCAGCCCTCCTCAAACTACGGGGTCCCAGTCAGCAGACGCCTCAGGGGGTGCCTCCCACCTGGACCCACCATGTGGGCGGCCCCGTGGCCTGAGTGGACCCCATGCTCGGGGAGGAGGCCGGCTCCCAGGGGCCCATGGGCAGCGCACAGCCAGGACTGGCGCGGACCGCCCGCCTCGCCAGCAGGGCAGGTCCCAGCTGGACAGGTGGGGGAAGACGCGCAGCGAGCGCTGGGTCTGGGGCGGCTCCTGGCAGAACCCCGCGCGCGCGCTGCCTGGCCAAGCCCCGCTCCTCGAGTCCCCTGGGGCCTGGGCTCCCCACCCACAGCCCCTTCCCCTGTCCCCGCGTGGGGCGGTGCTGGCCACTCCCGAAGGAAGGCGGCGGCGTGGCGCGCCCCCACCACCCCCGCGCGGGAACGCGAGCTCCCCTTCTTAGGGCACCCAGCACGGCCGGAGAGACGCTGCGGCCCGGCCACCGCGGGAGGCGCTGCGCCGAGACCCCGAACCCGACAGCAGCCCCCGGGCTCAGCCGCGGGGGCAGAGGCGGGGCTGTGCGGACTCCCGGCCCCGCCCACGGGCCCGCCCCTCCCGCCGCGTCACGCGCGCCGCCCGCGCCTGCGCGCCCGCCGCCCGCCCTCCGAGCCGCCGCGCATCCTCGGCCCGCGCCCAGCCCCGCGCCCCGCTCCGCGCCCGTTTGCGCCCCGCTCCCGCGGTGGGTGGCGCGGCCATGAGGCTGCGGGCGCGCGGCCCCCGGGACGCCCCCGCCTCCGGTTTCGCCTCCAGCGCGGGGGCCGGCGACGCGCGGCGGCTAGCGCCCCCGGGGAGGAACCCTTTCGTGCACGAGCTGCGCCTCGGCGCCCTGCGGAAGGCCCAGGTGGGTGCCTGGCGGCGGCCGCGGCCAAGTCCCCACGCCTCGCCATCCCTGGCCCTCGCCCCGCTCCCCGCGCGCGGCGCTCCACCCCGGGCCCGCGCCGCCGGTCCCCCGGCCCTGCGTTCGCTCCGGCCGCGCGCAGGCCTCGCCTGGTCCCGGAGCGGCCCCCGGGATGTGACTTGGTCACTGATGGCCTCGCGTGTGGGGACCTCGTCGGTCACTGGAGTGCGTGCCGGGGACGGTGGGGTTCTGGCCGTGGGGTTCCCTGGAGAGGAGCGGCGGGAGGATTTCCGCATCTCGGTCTGCAAGCTGTTTTCTGGTAAACTCGCGGGGGAAGCCCCTTGGGGCTGATCCGAAACCAGAATCAATCTTAGAGACAACCCGGTTCCAAATGGGGGTGGGGCGTGCAGTGTGCGGCCCCCTGCCAGCGCGTTCAGTGTGTGCAGTCCTCCGGGCTTGCCGAGGGGCCTTCACCCTTGCCGCCTTTCCCCGAGGCTTCTGGCCCAGGGGCTGAGTCCTGGGCTCCGGCACAGTCCCCGGCTGTTCTGTCCGGCAGTCGGCCCCCCGACTCCCCCGCTGTGTGGTGTTTGCATTTCTGTGAGATTGCTCACAAGGATGGGCCTTTCTTTTGGCCCCAAAACTACACAGAAGCAGGCACAGTTTGGGGCTGAAGCGGTTTCTCAGTTGCTGAGATAAATATTTCCAACTGTGAGAAAACTTTTTGGGGGGAGGCTGAGTGTTTTTAATGTGTAAAGTAATTCATCCAAAATGACATTTTAGTGAAAAGTTCTTGAGGTCTAGCTAAAGGGTATCATGTTCCCGGCCGCTAGCTTCTCAGAGCACTTTTTAGGTGGGTTTGCTTATCGCCGATGGAAGGAGCTGTGGGCAGATCATTGGGTGGAGAGTGGCGAGGGTGACACCCCTTCTACTGACAAGAAGAGGCAGGGCTGCCCGAAGGTGGCTTCTGGGCCTTGTCCCCTGTCTCTGCAGGTCTGAACCAGACCCCAGCGTGTCCTCCTGTGTGGCCTGTGTGCCTCCCTCCTTCACGCACACCTGCCACCCTCCAAGTGCTAAGCCCGGGTTGTGAGGGCGTTGGGACGCATGGCCGTTTCTCCTGGGCTCCTAAGTGGGCCCCAGCGACCCGCCACCCCATTACCCCTGTGGCCCACATCTCTGCTGCTCAGAGCCCACCCAGGGTAACTCCTGCAGGTGGTTTCCGAGGCCCCTCCAGGCCCTGCCCCTCTCCAGGCTTGTCACCTTGGCGCATAGCTGCTGCCTGGCTGTCTCTTCCTGCCCTGGCCCACTCTGCAGGCCTCTGCTCCTTCCTCAGGTCTTGGGTAAAATATCATTTCCAGGAAGAAGCCCCCTCCTCCCTGGAGGTCCCCGGAGGACCACCTTGCACCCGTGTCACATTTGCAGCGCCCCCTCTCCCACCCCACTTCTGTTACTGTGGATGCAGGGGCCAGGGGCAGGTCTGTCCCACCTCAAACTGGATGGGATCACTGCAGGAGCTCTGCTAGTTGATCAAGTCAGAAACCCCAGTTCCCGCAGGCCCCAGTCACAAGACTGTAAATTGGAGGTTTGGAGCAGTTCCTGTGGGCTGCTGTTCAGGGAAGCCGCTGCTAGGTGAGGTGGAGATCCTGATTTCAGATGTCAGCCCCCAATATCTGGATGACATTAGAGCAGGTCGGTGGGGTGCTTAGCCTCCCGGAAAGGGAGGGATGCTTTGCACATGCCTTGTTGCCGTGCTCCAGGGGCCCGGGTCAGAACAGTCACGAGGGTTTGTGTATCTGCTTGTGTATCGAACCCTGCCCAGATGTCTGCAGTGTGTGGCAGAGGCAGGTGGCTTGTAAATACTCACCAGGTTCCAAGTCCTGCTCTGCAAAACCATTTGGCTCTTTATCAAGTGATGCTCTGCAAAGCTTTTTACCTCCATGCACTGTACTGGGATAAAGTTTCCAGAGCGACTAGCCAGTCCAAGCAAGGAAAGTCTGCCTCCCCGGGTCAGTATATAAGCGGATCAAGCAGCGACTGAGATGCCTGAGGGCTTCCCAGAAACTCACCTGATTGCAGGTGAAGATAAACCCATACGGGAGCTCATGCTCACTGTCAGCACACACCACCAGGGAAGGGCTGCCATGTGGCTCAGATTAATGACCAGTCCATCTGCCATTTAACTGCAGACTTAGAAGGAGCTTAAGCATCTCTTCCAACAGAAAGTAACTGTAACACTGAATAGTCACATTTTAATTTGTTGCTTTTGAAGTCATGCATGGCTCATACCGGGGGTTGGTGCTCCACTTGGAAGCCACAGCTGTGAGCACATGCCGCCTCAGATGTTTCCCGTTGCTGAACGCTCTGTAACCCGCACCAGAGAAAACGTACTTCCTGAAAGCGGATTGGCTTCCCGTACACCCTGGGACTGTCCTTGGTCAGGCAGGCTGCTGAGCACCACCTCCCTGGTCACCCAGGAGGGGATTGCCATGAGGGCAGAGTCCAGGCACAGACTCGTCCACCCAACTTCTGTGGCGGTCTGTGCAGAGTTTAATTATCCAAAAGTGGCTATTTTTTTCTCCAAGCTCTTACCCATATGCCTGAGCTTTGATGAAAAAGCAGCAGCAGGTGCCCCTAGTCTCAGCCTGGAACCCACAGAGGGTCTGGCCATTCTGGAGCAGGGAATTGATGCCCTGTGCACTCGTGGGGAAGCCGCTGTTTGCATCAAGGTGTGGGCACTGCCCACTGGCCCCAGTGCCACCTCCCCACCCTGTGCACGCAGACCAGGCCCAGCAGCGTCCCTCCTGCTCCTCTGACCTGTCAGGTTCCAGCCCCTGCTCCAGCCCCAGCCACCCTGCCCACTCCAGTTGCCCCTTGTATCTGGTGCTCTGCGCATGAGACTTCATGATGAGCACATCTCTGTAGCCCCTCCAGCAGCCCTGCCAGGGGTGTGGAGGGGTGGGTAAACGGGGAGGTGGCCTGGCCCAGAGCTGGAGTTCTTGCGAGGCTGGTGGTAATAGGAGCCCAGGGAACATAGGGATGGAGGAATTTCCGAGAGCGTGTTTACCAGGGAGGACAGAGAAGGTTGGCTGCGGCATCGGCACCCCCTGCATGCCTGGTTAGCTGAGACCCCAGAGCAGATGCCAGGCCCCTGGTCTCTGCCACCTGCTGATGACCTGGGAGCCTGACAGTGCCCCCTGTTGTGCGTTTGTAGCCCCGTGAGGTTCAGGGCTGGTTCCCAGTGCCCTTGCTGATGGTCACTCTCAGCGCAGGCCTTGGAGGCAGGCAGGCAGAGATGTAGGTGCTGTGTCCCCGGTCACAGGTGAAGAGACTGAGCCCTCATCCTGTGCTGTCCCCGGACTGCGGGACATCGTGGGCTGGCTCAGTGGGGACGATTGGCCCGGCCTCCCAGGAGCCCTGCCCTCAGGGAGCAGGCTCTGCGTCCTAGGCTGTGACCCCTGTCTCTGGGAGGGCGCTCATGTCCAACTTCCTGGGGCTAATGCTGAGATGATGAGCAGTGGGAAGGGTGCAAGGACGAAGACTTGACTTTCTGTTTTCTGTGCTCTTGAAACAGTGTGTATACACACACATCAATACACACATGAATGTGCACACATAAACATGTACACACACAGGTGTATACACACACTCATGGGTTTGTTCCATAACCTCTTTAATTTCTCAGTACTGAGCAAAGCATTGTCAGTTTCCTCAAAATCAGGATTTGTCACTGCAAGCAGCCACTCCAGAGCCCCACTGCCAGAGCTGGTGCCCCGCCCGCCCAGCCCACCTCACTGGCATCAGGACCTCTGGTGGGGACGCCCCGACAGCGACCTTCAGTGCAGGTGACCAGGGCCTCTCTGCTCGGGTGGCTCTGAGCAAGGCCTCCACTGGGCTGTGTCCACCGCCTGCGCCCTGCCTGCTGCTGCACCACTTCATCTTCCTGCTCCTGGGGTTCACCTGACACGACCAGGACAAAGTGGCACTGTGCCCATGGGGGCCAAAGGCCAAGCAGGTGCTCACTGAGTTCTTGGGTTTTGCTGCGGTGCGTTGGGGCGAATTTGCCTTTCCTGGGCTCGTGTTTCTGACATTTCTAGCATCCTGTAAAGTGTGAGTCTAGTTGTGAATTATTTTCAAAATGAGCCAAGAGGGAAGTGTGTGTTTGGAAATAACACATTTAAACGTGACCCCCCCCTTGTCCTCCCCCATGTAGCCCTTAGTGGCCCTGGACAGTTGCCATGTCCTTGGGGTTCACCCCTGTTCCCGCCTGGTGAGCTAAGGTGTCCTAAACGTGCAGCTGGCTTCCCAGGCCCCATCAGCCACAGTTTCCTGGGCTCTGCTGCGTCTGGCGGCCTCCCTGTGCTGGTGCAGGGCTGTGCCACGGGTGCCTGGAGACTGTAGCTTGCTAACTCTTACTTCTGTCTTAGGGCCAGAAGAGTGATTTATTTTCCCTGAAATGTTACTCACCACATAAAAGCTTTTTGAAAAGCATCTTTTACCACTGTAGTATTTCAGATCTCTGAGCTGGGGACAGTGGGGCTGGACCCCCTGTTCCGTGTCCCGCATGGCCTCTGAGGTCCAGGCAGTGAGGAACAGAGTTGGCCACCCAGTGGAGCCCAGCTGCACGCCAGTCGTGAGCTCAATGCGGCTGGAATGCCCATGGGCTGAGGGCCCAGCTCAGAGCAGGTACTGCTCAGAGACCCCAGGTGGGGGTCTTTTATATCCAGGGTCCCTTTACTTGCCCAGCTCCCCCTGGGGCAGAGGTGACTGTCCATGTTCAGAGCAAACACTAGAACCCCCTTTCTGTGGTGTATGTTTTCCCCAATAGGAACTGGCTGTGGCCACTTCTGTGCTGGGTGACTCATTACCCTACCTTACAGGGTCCCTCAACTCAGCCCGTCACAGGCCAGACTCCTAGTCCCCACCCCCTGCATCTGGCTCCCTTCGTTCCGATGGTCAGTGGCCCATGACCACCCTCACCCTAGAACAGTCAAGGCCACTTCTGCTGC